AAGCGTGGCTGTGACGCAGAACCAGAAAGCAAGTACAAACGAGAAAAGGTATGTGCTCACATGATCGAATAATACGAAATGTTACTTGAGAAATTTACTGATATTTTTATATTTAAAAAAAAAGATATTGAAACACACCATATTGACTTTTATTTACGGCGGCAGTTTAGTAAATAAGCTGTAGTGATTGCTACTTTTGTAATCACAAATATAGTACTTCTATATAGAACAAGAGTAGTTCATTGATTCAAAGATAGTCACTAACACGCGTTCGACACTCATAAACGCGTTATACATCGAAACTTGAAGAAGATCGTCACGTAACAGGTTTTAAGGACCTAATAGAGGTTTACCCGACCTTGGCGATTACGAAAGTTGTCTTATAATCATACAAAAATTATGTTTCTTTATTTATTCTGCTATCGATTCCGGCTTAGCTTCTCGTTAGCTATATAATGCCCTAGCGGCCATCATAAACCTACTTCAAAAGAAACAATTTAACTAGGCTTTTGCTTAATTACTGTTCTTCTTCACTACATCGTCCTTCTTAAAATCTCAAAATCTAACAGACTGTGAACACGAGAAGTTAATTTCTCGCCGTTTTTTTATCACTGACGTGAAAAAATTCAGTAATGACAACATGATTAGGGAATGCGTTGAATAAATCACAATACACTTTTCATGGAATTCATAAAAATGGAAGAGCTTCTTAATCGTTATCATGACAGTGACACTCAGCATTGGTGCGCCTATTTAAGCACTTGAGGACTGCCTGCATGTCGCTTTTCTTTATATTCCTATTCAGTAGGAGTTGACTACCTCGCCTGACTGTTGATATTTCAGGTCTTTTCAGACTTATAAAATTAGCCATGAATAAAGTTATCTTATTGCTACTTCTGATAGGATACTGCTATGGTATGTTGGCCTTTCCATCATCACTTCATGTAAAAATTCTAAAGATTAATGCTTGATTTGAATAATCTAAGATTTGAATAATCTTGAGCTATTCGCTAGTGTAGCGCTAAATTCGATCATAGAAATGCTAAGATTATAACTTGAGGCTGATATTTATCAAACATTTACACAGTATTTTTCCCGCCGCCTTGTAATCAGGTATCAAATAAAATCTTGGTGAAATGAAGAATGTAGTATTAAAAATAAACAGCGCTTAAAGCAGATTTGATTGAAAGTCGATCTCACTGGCATGACACCCTCAAAGTCTAAATTGTACGCTATTTAAAAACCAATGTGTAAACATTCCTTAATATGTAAATACTAGGATAGAACGAACTGATGTTTGAATAAAAGCTGTAAAAAATTTTTGGCCAGATATAATTTTGCGAGAAAGAGCATCGTTCATGGAATATGGAAGTGTAGTTTGTTTTTATACATAAACTTCTTTCAGTGATTGCTTTAGAAATAATCACTCAAAATGCGGGAGATTTATTTTGTTGAA